AAGACAGAAAGATAGGCTCTGTGATTCCCTCCTAAGCTAACAAAAACAAACATAAGTATACTCGTTTGGACTGAAAGGTTTACAAAATAGTGACCAGGCATTGAAAAAGCATATGTCACAGAACTTGGTTTATGAAATGGCATCATTGTTTCGAGCAAGAAATCACCTGCTCACCACTGGGACGATGAAATCGTCACTATTTTTTGCGTCAGGTATATTTGCGCTCATGAAGAAAAATCGGAACACATCCTTCTCCCAAAGTCCTGTGTCGAATAATAAACACTTTTTTAAACATCTATGCACAAATAACTCATTTTTTTCTACACTTGTATATACACGTTAATTAAACGACGTCAAACCGCATTTTTGATTAGATCTTGATGTCTACACCAACTACATTCATATTTTTTAGGGCTTTATTCAACGATAACTCAAACTATAGTTAATGGAACACGATGGCTCGATCTCAACAAAAACCTCAACGTGCGAAGCTTCCACAGACGGTCGCTTGCGAGTATTCTCAATGTGAGACTTCAGAAGCTTTCGCTTGCCATAGGGAGCTTGCTTTCGACTACAGCACTGCCCAGGCCCGGAAAGCGCGGAGCGCGCTGCTGTGGGGAGAGGTTGACTTACAAGATGACGTGTTACGTGGTCACGTAAGATGGCGTCATTTCGTGCAGCGTTATCACGTAAGATCACGTCATTTCGTGTAACGAGATCATGTAAGATGACGTGTTTGTGTCACGTGATCACGTAAGATGACGTCAGTTCGTATGAACTGACGTCACCTTACGACAACGCCAACAACATTAGTGCCGTCCGGAACCATTGACCTTAGAAACGCGCCTCTTCGCTTGAAGAGCTGATATGCGTTGATTGTTATTTGTTTCTTTTGCCTACTACAGACCATTCAAAAACTCGCTTTCTGGGTGCCACCAACTTCGTCTACTGGGCTGTAAAGCGCGTTCGAGCGTGCGCAATACCTCTCTAGGCCGAAAGATTGTACACTGAGTATGAGTTCACAGCTCAATGACTTAGGCATTTTTCGTCAGGATAGATGCTCCCACGAGAAGAGCGTAATGGATATGTGAATAGAATTGGAAATTTGAAATGTTCTTGTCCAATCGCATTTTTCTTTGGTTATCAACGCTTTTTAGCGTCATCACAAGACGTTCAACCCATAATACACTGGTGATTAAAAAATAAGCACCGAAAAACATGCACCGATTTTCGCTCAAAAATAAACACCGGAAAAAACATACCGTAATCATTACCCATGTCACCTTTTTGGGTGATATGTGAATTTCCAGAAGAACAGCGAGTTATCACCCTCCCCTGGGAATACCCTGACTACAGAGCAGGCGACCCGTTTTTCCCCGCGTTAGATTGCGGTGACCACGAACCGTACGGAGGTCACAGGACGTCCGTGAAAAATAAAAAGGAGGCAAACAACGATCTACTCTGTGCACGCTTCATCCTCGATTTCCACGAGCCCAAGGCCGAAGGACGTTTGTGTGAAGGATAACGATAAAATAAAACTTTGCGTAAAAAAAAAAAAGCCCGTTTTTAAAAGAAAAAAAAAAAGTAGAAACAAGCACAACGCGTTGACGGACCGCGAGGTTGTGGAACACCTCGCGGTCCGCTTGCCACAGGACGGTTGTCTTCGACCCATAGCTCCAAGGTGAATTTGCCACTTGCGAAAACACGGAGACCTACCCAGCGAGAACCAGGAAGGCAAGACACGCACACTGACGCCTCGGCGTGCAGAATGAAACAGGATACGGGCGCGGAATACGGCCGCGGAAGAACACCTCGCACAGTGCCGATCCGGCCGATCTCCGAACGGACGATTTCGCATTTCGTGGACAGCGAGCGCCACCGCACGGGAGAGAGAGGTACCTTAAAAACGACGAAAACAAGCACCGACACCTTGGTTCTTTATATTTGCTGTAGTTACGGAACAAATCGATTTACATGAATAATTTGAATATTATTCGATTCCGTAATAAATTTAGAAGACACTAAGCGCAATACCTCTTATGTTTGAATTTATATAATTTTGTAAATTCGCTCCGAACGCAAGAGTGCCGAATTAGCCAATTTTGACCATTTTCATGATTTTTTAAAGAATGTAATTAAATTTATGATGAAACATTTGCTGCGCTTAGTGTCTCGATAATGACTCAATGTCTTTAAAGCCAAAATTTTCAAGAAGATCCGCGCAACCTTTATTATGTGAGAATTTTTTTTAATTTGGTGAAAAACCTCATGTATTCTTTATGGGGCTCTGAGGTGCGCCCCCTCTTAAAAGTAAACGGAGTATAGGGGTATTCACTGGACGTCATATTCGTGGGTGCTGTTTAGAGCGCATGCTCAGAACGTTCGACAATTCGAATCCGAATGTTCGACAATTCGGATTTATCCGAAAGAATCCAAATTTCGAGGTCACAATGGCAAAATATTAGGCCAAAAAAGAGCATGATATTTCACGAATAAAGTTTGTAAATCACAGGTAAATCATCACTTTGTTTCCCTTTAGTCCTTTAACTGTAAGCGTAGAAGAAGCCACAAGAGAGAGCTCCGAGCAGCGTTACTAGAGCCACTCAGTTGGGAAACTGCCACAGAGCCGGCTTTAAAAAAGTGGCTCCGATCCGTACTCGAGAATCAAGCTAATGGCGATCGCAACGCCGCCATTTCTCCCGTAGCGTCCACTCCGGGAACGACACGTCGAGCAGTGTTGCCAGATGGTCCCACCAAAAAACCGCCAAACGGCTGAGAGGTATAGCCCAAATATAGCCAAAGCCATAAAAAAGATATAGCCCAAATAGCCAAATCTAAAAACAATGATTTTTAAGCCTTTTATTGAAAATTTTTTACACACATACAAAATACGTTACGTGTTCTTTTTCAAACCTCAAATACGCCGCTTTTTGTGTGCATTATGTCACTTGTTAATTAAAAAAAAGCTTCAGATGGATGAATTCGTAGGACCTCAGAAGTACCAAACACACGAACACAGCTGATTTGTGAAGCCCTGGAAAAACACTAAAATAACAAAATACAGAAGCAGAGAACACTGGGAGTTTAAACCAGAACCCCTAATATCTAAGGACCCGTCTATTTTTCTTTGTGTAGAACTCGTGTGTCCCCCCGTTCCAGTTTACGCTATTTTTGATTGTGTTGTCCTTTCTTGGGGTGAGCGATGCCTAAGAATTTTTACATTGCGCACCAAATCAGCGTTTGGAGAGTTCAGTCTAGGTCCGGGAAGAAGACGCGCTACCGGGCCTGTGGGAATAGTGCAATATGTTTGTTTTATTTGTTCCACTGCGCTGTGGGGAGAGCGCTTAAACTCTGCAAGCATTGCTTCTCTGCAGGGGCAGATTTAGAGGGGGGGTCCGGATGTCCTGACCCCCCTCTTGATTTCTGCATGCGTAAAATTTAGGGCGTAAAACGAAGGAGAGGGGAACAGTTCCTAAACATATGGCACGCTGACCAACACCTGACCCCCCCCCCCCCCCCCCCCCCCCTCAGGAAATTCCTGCATCCGCCCCTGCTTCCCTGCGCATTGTGAAAACCCCGAAGTGTGAAGCCTTTCTCCTTCATCTCTTTCCTCTAGACTAGCCGAAAGAGAAACAATTTTTTTTCGGAACTGATTAGAAGTTCGAAAATGAACTAGTCGAACCTCAAAGTTCGACCTCGAACCTGAGGTTCGCCAAGAGTTCGCCGCATCCTTAAGAATAGCCCAAAAATAGCCACATAGCCAACCACGAAATTTTGACGCCAACTAGAAAAAAATGTAGCCCAATTTGGCTATATATAGCCCAATCTGGCAACACTGACGTCGAGTTGGGCCAGGGCCGGTGGCGCCATCTCGCAGGGCCATCTCGCAGTAGCTATGTAAAGCAACTTTTGTTTTAACTAAAGAGTGGCGCTGTTGTCGTATTTAGCTCGGTCTTGGTGGACGCCAGCGGCCCAGGTTTCAACGGTGAGTTTCCCAACTGAGGGTTCTAGTAACGTTGGCTCCGGGCTTTCAGCGTCCCTACCAAGTACGCGCGCTCGTGCAGAGCAAGCATTGTTCAGGGCCACATGCTCGTGCTTCTAGCTTCGGTCTCACTGACACTTAAAGTGAAACGGAGTATAGTCGGCATAGTGGCATAGCCTCCTCTATACTTACAAAGCCTGGTAGTTCGACGTCGGAGCCATCGAGTGCCCGGTTGCAGATTTGGAGCGCGAGGATCTGGTAGCACAGAGCATTTCTCGAGGAATCTGGTATTCAGCGCACAGCTTTTGCAGCGGCGAGGACCCGAAACATTGTTTTCAAACCCGACGAGAAAAGAAGCGGTAGCGCGAGGAACGCGAGGAGAACGAGCGGACATTCCATCGCTCGGGAGAAGTGTGTTTCGGCATCTCGCCGCAGCGGGGCACCCGTTACATGGCTCTCCTCTCATCCGTTGTCTGTCCCTCTACCTTGCACTTTCGGCGGCCGCGTCTCATGGCGGTCTGCCAGGCTTTGACAGTATAGAAAAAGCTATAATAGTTTTGCAAAAAAAATATATTTTTTTTTATTTACGAAGGAAAGTTTTTGTTTCTACCGTCAACGTTCGTTCAGTACAATGGGCCAATGTACTTATGAACCACGACAAAAACTATTGTTCCGGTTTTCAGTTTCGACCAGGGAGGATGGATTGAGTTTTTATAACGGTAAGAGATGTGAACCTGTAGATTTCATAGGATGAGGACAGCAACTGAAGGCTTTATGCGTCCAAAAGTCCGACTGTTTTAAAGTCTATAAATACAAAATCGTTCTTATGAGTCATAACTAATTGGTGCGCCACTGTAAATGCCGATACGACCAACAGTTTCCACCCAAGATATCGGTTCAGTATCCCTTCAACTGAATTTCATGAATCGTATAGGACTTTTAGAGACGAAGGTCGCCGTCAATGTTTATGTATATCTTCTGAAGACTATACGAAATCTGCAATGTCATGCTCGCCCACCTGAGTCGTTTTGATCCTGAACCTCCTGGACAGGTCGAATGCTGGATCCTTGAATAGTGCAGGCAGCGGCATTCCGTTTTCCATTGCGATCATCTTCAATCCAAAAAGTAAACGGTCGATGCCAAGGCCGCTAATCGCCTTTTGTGTGAGAGAAAAAAAAATCAACAATGGCGAGTTATCCCGCGTTTGCCCCTGCTACGGCTTTCAAGATCGAACTTAAATATTTACTATAGTTGCTCCGATAGCTTGAGAAACGCACGAGGTGACTTATTGTGTTCACACTTCCTACCCTGTGATTCGCTCTCGGGCGTCCTTATCGGCGATCGCCGCCATTTCATTGGCTGCGCTAAGATAATGAGGTTCATGCATTTGGTAAGCTGGCAGGGACTGTATATATAGTCTCTACCGGCGGCGGTGCACTTCGGCTTCCGGTGCACCAACTGATCTCTATGTCTGTTTCCTGGATCGCGTTTGACCAGCCCCGCCTATGGACCGAAATGCGGTCACTGGCGGCCATCTTTAGGTAGAGTTATATCATCTCTAGCCATCTTAGTAATATGGCGGACAGCGCAATGGCGGCCGGGTGCCATAAATTAGCCGCGGATCTAGTACACTGTGCCGTGGGAGATATTTCGTGCTTGATTCAAGTAGTTCGACGACGCAGATTCTTGAAACCCGGCGTGAACGGTAGCCTCATCTTTGAGGACCCGGAGAAAGTTGTACGAAAGCGCAGCACCGGGGGAAAGCAGCGCAGCTCGCATCGAAAGCAGACTCCGTACCAGCGTCTGCTTTTTATGCTAATTTTGATGCGACTTTCGATGCGAGCTGTGCTGCTTTTCCCCCGGTGCTGCGATTTTGAGAAACTTTCACCGGGTCCTCAAAGATCGCGCTACCGTTCACGCTGGGTTTCAAAAACATGTTTCGTCAAACAATTTCAATCAAGCACGAAATATCATCCACCCTATTTTGACGGCAGCCTGCCACCACACCTGCCAAAACGCTGTCTGTCATGGATGGATTACAGTGGCTGCAGGAGCTGTACTATCGGGGAAAAATGAAATGCGAACAGAGGAGCGCGTGGCTCGCGGTACAGGCTGCGCCGCCTGGAAGTGAGCCTAGGAGCGAGGGTGCGTGGCCTACTCCGACGTGTTCACGCCCCTCCCTCTGCGTTCCCCAAGCTTCAGCAGTGCCCCTCTTAGTGCGCTGAAAACTATCACCTCTATCTTTGCTGGCTCAGCGCGTGCGGTGCAAAGAAGCTCGCCGCACTCGCCGAGCAGGCAAAGATAGCGGTGACAGCTTTCAGCGCACTGAGAGGCGCACTGCCGAAGCTGGGGGAGCACCAATCGAGGGGCGTGAACACATCGAAGTAGGCCACGCACCCTCGCCCCTATGTTCACTTCCAGGCGGCGCAGCCTGTACCGCGAGCCACGCGCTCCTCTGTTCGCATTTCATTTTTCCCCGATAGTACCTTGGCTAAAGGTAATATAACTCTACCTAAAGATGGCCGCCAGTGACCGCATTCGCAGAGCGGGCAAACGCGATCCAGCAATTGTCATTGAGATCAGTGGGTGCACCACTCTCCGCGTGCCGTCGTAGATGATTCAGGGAAGCTGTTGCCGACACCGACGGCCACGCTGCATCAGTAACCTCGCCGTCGGACACAAACTGTGTACCCTTTAGATGTTCCTGTATCTTGGAAAAAGAGTCAAGAGTCTGATGGCTCGACGTCCGCCATTACATCATATCTGACGGCATGTGGATGATAGTGCACCGACGCCGGTAGTGGACCGCCGTCAAGTGTGCTCCCTGGAAAGGGGAGATTCCAAACTTTCGTTCGTATGTCACAACTTTCGATTTCATCGCTGAGTACTAGGTCCGCTTTCACTACTCAGAAATGTTGTTCAAAAACGTCACTTCGATGTTTGTTTTTGTTGTTTTTTTCTTATCGGAATGGCGTGGTATCGAAATGGTGAGGTATCATTAGAGAGTTTTAGTAGATCGTTCCCATGACTCCGATAACGATACCCTATACTCCGCCACCGCCTCCCTTGTGCATGCATAGTATCGTTATCGGGGCTATCGGAGGTATCGGAACGATCTACTAAAACTCTCTATTACGGGTAGCTTGGGAAGGGAAGTCAACAAACATTATGGCGCTTTCATCGATTTGACCAGTTTCGTGTGCAAGAAGGATTATAATTCGAATTGTAATTATATATATTATTGACTGCTAAATATAACCCTAATATAGATAAATATATACGGGGAGTTTTATTTTAATTCAAACGGGTTTATTTCAAAAAATCTGCAAAAATATACGCGGATAGTGTGTGCGGGTTAGTTTTACGGCTAGGGGGACATTTTATAGGCTACTCATCTTCGCGATAAGTCCGATAATGAACAAAAATAATAATTAACTTCTTAATTAGTCAAAATAAACGTGCGGTTTTAATTATAAACTTGCTGAGTATCCTCAAAGACAACTAAATCGGTCAATCTTAGAACGACTCGAACCACGTAGGAAACGGGGGGGAGGGGGGGGGGGTGCGTCAAAGTTACCAATCATGTAGCAGGCACAAAGCTACCTACAGATAAGAAAAAGCTAACGTTAATCTAATCATTCGCGTTTCCCCGCCGTCAGCTTTACGCTTGCTGCACGAAGTGTAAATCTGCTGCACCCCCGTGTTTCCCACGTGGTTCAAGTCGTAAAATTGACTGATTTAGGTGTCTTTGAAGATGCTCAGCAAGTTTCTAACTAAAACCACACGTTTATTTTCACTATTTAGAAAGTTAATTAATACATTTGAGTAAATATTCAGACTTATTCGGAAGATTAGCAGTCTATATCATATTCCCTAGGCCGTATAATCCACCTGCAAAAACTGCATTAGTGTGTTCTTTACAGATATTCTATATTAACTTGTCCGAATGAAAATCACACGCCCTGTATTATTGTTATTCTTGCATTTTTCAGCAAACACAAACACAGTGTTTCTGTTCTCTATATTGTAAGTTGTGTGCAGCACTATTGATGCCACAAGTGCGCGCGAAATTCCGTAGGAGAACACAGGGATACCTGCGAGAGAAATACATATTTTAAAGCCACTTGCTCAAACCAGCCCCTTCTAAAGCGCTTCCCTAAAATTCTCCTGGAAAACAACCATCAGAATTGTGTCACAATTTCGCACCCCGTGAGGTATCATTCTTTAATCTAACATTCAAACAACCACAAAGAAATTCACTGAAGAAGCCTCGGTCGGAAACTTTGTATGGGGAAGTTAAAAGGGTGTCGTTGCCGAGCAAGAAAAAAAAATGAACAAAATACAAATTGCATGACGATATGTATATATGGTATAGTTATTATACTTGACGTTTGCAGTTTTGTAAATCCGAACACATGAAGGAACACTGAAACAATATCTGAACTTGTCACGAGGGCTAAAGTATTAAGCTGATCAAAGCAAGTTATTGCAGATGTCATTTGTAGTAAGTCAAGTCCAACCCTAGGAACATGTATTCATTTACATTAGAAATGCACTTCACCAAGCCACAGCCCCGCACAGACCTTGAAACTTTTTTTGTTTTTGCAAGCTCCTTTTAACAAGTTCTCGAGGCTACGCTCTTTCTCGATAGCCAACAAAATGCTGCGCCAGTGACATGGTCAAACTGGCAAGTCTACAGATGCTTGAAATTTCGCTTTCGCCGAAAGTGTATATGTCATTTAATAATACTTTTTCCAGCGGTGTGACTCTTATTTGTTGCATTAAACATACGTTTAAAACAAAATATGGCCCGTTTTAGTACTGTATCCCCACAGAACCTGCGAGTGGTTGTTTGACTGTGGCTTCTATCTTGAGTTTTCATCTCCAAGTTCAGTGGTTCTCAAATGGGGGTCCGCTGATTCCTTGGGGTACGCGAAGGCACTCAAAGGGTCCAAGAAGCTGCCTCATCAGGCAAGCCCGGCAATGAAACTTTTTTTTTTTATATTGACATGGAACGATTAAATTTTTGGGTGGGTTTTCTCACGTGTATGCCAATCAGAGAAGTGTACTTTACACTAGCGCTTAGTTTTATTCGTTTATTAACTCGTTATCATAATTAACCTAAACCATTCCCTCCCTTTCACCACAAACGGGGTCTTTTATCATATTTGCCGGTCCACAAGGGGCCCGCGAAACATCAATGGTTTAGAACCACTGTCCTAGATAAACCGGAACGACGCACACAAAACGGTGCTGGAGGTTTCGTCATAATGCAGAGCTCCTATCAATGGCACGCAACTTTCGAAATTATTTGTTTCCCTTTTATGTAAGTACATATTAAAGTCTTCATGTGGGTATAAAAGTCCGACTTACAAGAGCAACATCGCGTTTGTGCTTCGTCACTGCTCTTCTGAGGCTGATCTCTTTTTCTTCCATGCCGGCAGACGGACTTTCGAAGACCTTGCAGAAGGACAGGCTTTCTGTCGAGGATCCCCGGACCCCTTCCGTTCGACCGTAAAGGAAGTTACGTAAAGAAACACTTTCGTGTAACAAACCCGGAGCCTTGTTCATTCTGGAAACATCATTGTAATTTTTTCAGGTTCTGCACGGAATGCCTATAGTACAGTTTATTTCCGCGGTAAAACTCTATCGTAGGTATTTGTTACTCTAATTTGGGATCGTTGTTCTACTACTAGGCATGGAACGCGTGCTGGATGCCGGGCGTTCCGAAAACACACCGTTCCGCTCTCATTTCGTAAGTGACTTTATAGTGAATTTCAGATGCAAATTACGGTGCCTGAAGCGCGTCTTCGACTGCTGTGTTAACCGCCATGTACCGCGCATGCATCGAAAGCGGTCGGAAAGTGGCAACAGATTATGCCACAGGAGCCGGCGTGTCATCTTGTCGCGGACGTCGCGATCCTAGCGGTTGGTTGGTTGCAAAACTTCCGGCAGAAAGTACGAGCGAAGGCGAGTGTCGCTGTCGTCGCCACGTTCAACTTCCGGCTTATGAAGCTTCCGTGAACTGTTAGCGGCTGGAACCTGGAGCAGAACAGGCGTCTGATCGAATCCACCTCCACTACTGTGACACCGCCAGGAGCGTTTCGGACGTATACGATCTCATCGGGCAAACATGGAGGGACCGTATTTGAGGAAACGTTAAACACACCAGTCGGTAATGCGTTCGAGGCACCGTGGTCAAAATGCGTTGAAGATCGACTAATGATTATTTTACAGCGTCCAACAGGTGACATGGAAAAGCAAGGAGTTTGTTTCGAATTCTACGTGCGCCATGACAAGTACTTAGCCGCACGAACCAAACTCCATATCGCGTTTTCTGCCGCGCTGTCCGAGGCAAATAGACTCGCAAACTCATACTTTTCTCTGTAAACTGATTTTGTTGGACAATTACTCGCGAAGGGAGAGCACTTTCTAAAGGCACACACTTGGGTGCTCGATTCCAGCAATGCGGCACTGAATTGTTCAGGTAAATCACTAAAGACTCCAAGAAAAAGTCTTTCTGAGACTTGCATTTCAAATGCCGGGTACTGGCAGTTCACTGGCGGCTGGCCAAACAAACCCTGTAATTTATACTCCCACGTGTCTACGCTTTGACGCACAGCTGTAAAGAAAGAGCAAATCGGATGTGAAATACACCGTACAGCGGAAAACATACCAAGCTTCGAGTATATCGCATTTTTCGAACGTAGGTGCTACTGATGCTTCATATCCTACATATGACAGCTGTGTTTTCCGAAACCAATGCCATCTATTAGCAGTTATGTGCCTAATAAAAAGGCAGAACACGCGGGGATCTCTAATTTCCACGAGGAAAGACTAGAGAGGGTAAATTATCGAACACGCAGGTACTCTTTTCTAACGAACAGAAGCGAGCGTTTCTAATGCGCTATGATGCCTAACGAAAACAGCGGGTAAATTTATATTGGTAAAGAAAGCAAACATTTTATATTGCAATGATCAACAGACTTGAACATGAACGTTTGACAGCAATCTGTTTGATTGAGAGAACAGTAATTAAGAAAAGAACGTCCAACCAAGTCCTAATTATGGACCGTAGTTTTGATGCCCAATGGAGGCTTGGTTAAACGACCCTCTTTTTATTAATAAACAACAGTCACTTTGAAGGCTGCTTTGAAAAACGGTAGAGGGGAAGCCGCTAATGATAACGCAAAGCCTGTATCCTCTCACAGCTGACATTAACAATCGCTATAAGAGGACAGCGTCACTTGTGTAGGAAGTCGCCCTAATAAACCCAAATTTTTGTTGGTGCTCGCGTAAAAACGATTGTAACCCCCGGCTTCCAAAACAAGAAGCTTTGAAAGATTGCTGAAAATTTGCCCGGTTGGAGTCGGCAATGTAGAAGGGCTCTGAGACACACACGTAACCGTAACCTCCGCCGACACACACACAAAAAATTTTTTTTTTTTTTTTTTTTGGGGGGGGGGGTCGATATATTTAAAATACAAACAAAACGCACAGAGAGTGCAGTACTGAAACAGCCCCTGGGTGCTCGGTTGTTATACGAATAGCTATCATCGCACCCTAAGATGGATAGCATTGCACTGTTTTTGAGTATTTTTTTTATGTTGCTTGTAGTGCCCTTCACAAACAACTTCAAAACTTTTTCTAGTGCATTTTGAAAAAGTAGTAAGAAATGAGCGTGCTGATAAAGAAATCAGAAACGATAAAATGTGAACACACAGAGGGACTGAACGTCTACGTATTATCTCAATGTTTACAAACTCACAACTCAACTTGCGATTTTAGCACCCCAGCAAGCGCGTTGCTTGGGAAAGTGAGCGAAGCACGCGATATGTACGAGGGATTAAAATGGTACCAGCCAGAAGAAGTTTTGTTCTACGCTTTCTAGGCAAGCGTAGAGTGCCCCAATGTCTTTTTGGTTAGGGTGATGCCATGCCTACAGCACGCGCTCACAGCGAAAATACAAAAAAAATCGCGGAAAACGAAATATGGCTCTGGCACAGTCAGCGCCACGAGCGCGTGCAGAAACATGCTCTTTCACGCGCTTCAGAACAAAAAAATAAAAATAAGCGTCCGAAACAAAATGGCCAGTTGCCATCACCCTAAGCAAAGCGCACATGAAGGCACCCTAGGCTATAACGTAGCTTCCACAGAGCTGGAGCCCCACGCTGCCTTGAGAGAACTCAGCTTCGTCTTGCGTCTGATTCGCATCCGATCGCGCAGCTATAGCTTTGACGGATTTAATTAAAGCACAGGGGTAAGCAAGGCGTGCTTGAACAAACCACGCTCTCAAGGCAAGCCTTGATAGCGTGGCGCAAAGTACTTGACGCCGAGAATTGGCGGTTTAGCACATCTTTTTTAACCTACTTTCACAGCTTCATCTTTAGATCTCCAGGTGCTGTACAACTCTGATTCATGCGAGCCTGCCGTGGCAGCTTTCTGTTTTATCCGGCAGGTGCCATCAATTTCGCTGAAATTTTCAATGGCAAGTCTTGAGAACAGAAAATGCTAAAGAGGAGAAACATACGGCGACTCGCTAAGATAAGTTTTCTTTGCGTCCAATAAGCATAGCAAGTGTGTAAACACCAGTGTTTGCACAACATGGAAAAAATCTGCGAGCAGGACTCTGTTAACAGAAGTGCCCCAATGAGCTCAACAAAGAGGATAGACACGTACTTATAATATGCCAGCTGAAACGCCATCTGCACGTAGCTATCTGGACTCATTCCGAGTGACTTGATGAAATCCTTGCCGTAGTCCGGAAACTTGTAGATCACTTGGTCGATGTCCTCTCTCAACCTGAAAATATTTAAAATGCATGACACGTTGGGCTCCCTTCCTGCACTTTTCCAAACTTCCGGTTCGGGACCCGTCAAACTTTAACTCCGCGTTCTGCGTCGGTCATACGTTCTTGAATTCAATTCGTTCTCCTTCAACGCTTACTACTACTCAAAATGTTTCACCTCACCTTTGCCTAACACTCCCTGACATAAAATACAAGGGAGGGAGTTACTTCGGTACTTTTACGTTTACGCCAGCGTCCACCTAGAACCACGAAATGCTTGCATGGTGTACAATGTATAGCCTCCACGTGCATCAAAAAATCGAGCGAACTGAAAAATTTCATTGACGATTGTCGGCCATCTTGACGCTGATAGAACAAAATAAAACCGGAAAAATTTCGAACGACCACATGAAGTGTGTTGCGATCAACAGCGCAGGTGTTTCGTCATTGAAAGACCGGCTTTAGCAGATTTACTTTTGGTCAATGTGCTTTCGACTACTTGCTTTCCTAAAGCATATATTCGAAAGTTTTGCTTTCAGTGGAATAGCTTCTAGGAGATGTCCTTTTGATGTGTGCTTTTTCGGAATGCTTTTACGAGATATACTTTTGTACCGCAAAACCTTCAAGAATCTCGAAGTGGCGGTGGCGGCGGCCGGTTTCGGAGCTGCCGCCGTGTGGGCGGCGTCGAAAAGGAGGGGGAAAAGGAAGAGAGAGGAAAATAAAGCGATACCACGTAGACACAGTCGGTATACGAAAAGGCAGCTAGCTCTGCGCCTACCAGTATCCACTAATCATTTCAACAGGAGCTCGACGCTTTGACGCCCCCGCGCTCTATCATCTCCCCCTTTCCCTCAGTAGCATAAAAAACATTTAGTTGTAGATTTGAGTCACCTTGAGTGAAAGTGTTTTGCGTTATCGATGTCTTGCATCATTTCCGAAGACAGTTCGAACTGCAGCCTCCTGGGGATCTCGTCCATAACGACGCCAGAAGGATCAAAGTGTTCTCTGCTTTTCCTGAAATAATCAGCGCATACCTTTATAAGCTTCTTTTCTGGAAATGACTCGTTCATGCCGCAAGCTTTGATAAAGTAGATAAAAGAGAAAAGTGGCAGAAGAACAAAGTACATTTTGATAACAAAATAATCAGATAGGCATTCCTAGGTAAGTCGTGCATTGGAGTAATGGTCACAAGAAAGTTCAAATCTAACCTATTCTTCTACACACTACCTTTACCCTCTTGTTATATACTTTATTAAATATTACCGAGATACTTGAACTCCCGATACGCGAAACGGCTAACGTCTTGAGTAGGAAATAAAGAAATAAATGCGTGAAGTTAAGGTATGGCGTGGTCTATTTCTGACTCGTTTGAATGCTGACCATGATCACGCACACTATTAAGGCCTGTTCCCACATGCAGCGGAGCGCTACAAGCAAAGCGCTTACCTCGCGCTAAGCGCGTGCTAATGAAAGCGTTCACCAGCTTTGTATCGCACCGTCAAAACTGTTGCTCATGGCAGACGATAAGTAGCTGACGGCACGTGAGGAGCGCTACAACAGCGCTTCGCTGCATGTGAGAACCGGCCTTTATGTTTACTGGTTAGTCACCTCGACAACTTTTTGCGTGAGGTTACAGGGCTGGAGTTCACAGGACCACTTAAGGCTCGACCACGTGACCAATTTCGAGCGCGAGATTATTCTTTATCCACGATACCTTAAACATACAGTCAAGTGTTGCAAAAGCATTCCGGTAACAAACTCACATGTAATCGTAGCAGTGATCTAAGAGGGTAGCCACGAGCGAGCTGTCCATGGGCGAGTGGACGAACATGATTCCCGTGTGTCCTTCTCGTCCTACAATGAACTGAAACGACACACCGGTTTCTCCTGCTATGTATATTACTGAAGTTGGCAGAACAATGGCGCCACTGCATGCAGCGTCAAATTGTCCCATGATCACTTTCCAGTACTAAATATTTCGGTAATTATGTTGTGTGTTTGTTTAGAAAGCCGGATGTGAGTCAGCCCCATTCATTGGCCGTATCGTGCCTCAACTGTAGATAAGTAATATACCCAGTGCGGTCCCGCTGCTAGCCTGGGGTCATCGACTTGCATCACGTAGTCGTGATACATGACCGCACAACGACGCTCACTCAGGGGCTCTAAGCTGGACATTCGGCAAGAAAGTCGGCGAGATTTATGACTGCCGCGATTGGCCAGCGCCAAGGACAAGAGCGGCGCTGGCCAATGGTGGCAGTCATAAATCTCGCCGACATTCTCGCCGAGTGTCCAGCTATGATTCCCTTTTCGCAGGTGCAAAGAGAGACATTATGGCTTGGGGCGCCGGCGGGGCGCCGCGAATCGGTGTGTATAGGTGGGTCAGGTTGGTTAATATTTTCTAATTAGCCATTCGCAGGCTGTCGCCGCGATGTGGCATAAACGAAAGCCATGGTGTTCTTCGCTGTACAGTTATTTCTCTATTTGTTTGAGTTTTAGGTGGTGCCAAAAAAAACAAACTGTTACTCTCTTCGAAGTGCTTAGTTGAGGAAAACTGTCGGTAAAATTCTTTACATTTTATTCTCACGAGCTGTCTGGGGTGTGCCGAACCTGAGTATTCCAATGATTTACCTAACACGGCGGCACCCTCAAACGCGTAGTGCATAGAAGATTATAAGGCTCGTCACGGCGACATCGAACAACAATAGGAGGTATTCACTGGACGCCATATTTGAGGGCGATGTTTAGAGTGCATGCTCAGAGAGATATCACATTAATAGTCTGCTAAGTCCGGCAACCTTGATGGTGCTAAATGCACGCTCCAAAGGGCTGCGGAAGCTCGCCGTCAGCACGCGCTCAGCAGCAGCGCACACGGATATGGCCGCCAGTGAATACTCCCTATTAAGCGAACCAACGTCTGAAATGTTCATCTCCGCATCGCTGCTCGTCTTCAAATTTTTGCTTCACCAGCCATCAAAGGCTGCCATTAGCATCTACAGATGGCATACACTTAGATGATGATGGTTAACAAAGTGGCCAGACAGAATTTCAGAAAGGGTCTATTTTGCCAGCTTCAATCACCGCAACTACAAACACCAAAATTTGCATCACGTTTCTTTTTTATTTTTTCCTTTGTTTTCAACGGGTGATTTTGCACGTGCAAAATCGCAAATAAAATTGACCTATGTGGATCAGGCTTTAGACTTCCTTTTTTCGGGCAATGTAAGATGTAACATATATAAAAAGTATATATCTTTATGGCCTCCAAAATAAAAGACAAAAAAGAAACAAAATGTCGTCCTGATGTAAATGCTGTCATAAATATGTCCCTGCGCCGTCAAAGCGGTAGCATGCAATCACACAAAAAAAAAAAAAAAATAAGTTAAGACGTTTTTTTTGCCCGAATCTTTTCGTATCAATTCTTTTACACTTTGATTCCTTCTTCTTCCCGTACAATTCTCGTTCCCGTTGCAGTTTACCTTAGGACAAAGTTATGCGTATAGCGTCGTATTTTAAAGACGTACCTGTCTTTCCTTTTCTAAACATGAAATATTTATACTTTGTAGTTGTTTTTGCATTTTATTTTCTGTCGCAGTCTGTATAATCTTTCCGGTGCTCAGTAGAAGGGGCGAAAGGCAGCAGGGGGGATCGATGGCCGAGTGGGCTAGCGCACACTAGAGCCACTCGATATGGCAGCGTAGCTGCCAGAGTAGCGCCACGCTTTTCCTTGTGCCGCCTCTCACCGCGATTGGTCACAAGCGGTACCATAGCAACGAGCTGAGCTGGCTCGGTTTTCGTAGCAACCGAGTGGCGATTCGTCACGTGACCTCTTAAGAGCCGTGATGTCATCGGTAAGATGGCAGCGCCCAGAGCTGGTGGATGCGAGTTTGTTCGGTGCGCGGAGTCGTGATGTGCCGCAGCTGGCCGACGATTTAGGGCTTCTTCGTGCTTTCTGACCTAGGCATAACGTGAAGATCTGAAAGAATGATACTTTATACCGTTTCTGTGTAAGATCGCTCTGGATATTAGCACTTGTGCGACAGCATCTGTAATATCGCCTTAGCGGTGCTCGCGTTTTCGGATCTGTTTGAGGATCGATAAGACATTTAGCATGCAATTTTCGCATTCTCTTAGCTTTATTTGAACGTTGGAGTGTCTGAGAATCGATTCGAAATCTATGCGTCGCATGTTAGGCCTTGGAAAATTTGTTTTTGCCCCAGGTAACCACATGATCACAAACTTTTAGCGAGGAAGCTCCTGCGATGTTTACGTTTTGTAAAAATCAATCAGGGAACCTGGGTTCAATCCCCACCCCTGCCCCTTTCGATCTGGATGAGCATCGTACCGGCCTGCGGTTGTGTATCACAACTGCGTGGTGCACGTTAAAGACCTATAGACCCCAGGCTAGCGGTTATACTGCATTGGCTAAATTGGTCATCTACAGCGAGTGACTCGTCGCAACTTTGAAATGGCTGGCCAACTACACGCAGTATAAATATTCACACAACTCCCAAGCATACTAATCAACAATTTTACGATATGCGCAGCGCAAGTTCGTCTGCTTCTTTTAGTATGGGTTGTGGTGACGTCAGAACGCCGAGCTCTGATTGGTTCTGAATAAAGAATAGTGGATAGGCCTCAAGGCAGCTTGCTTTTAAGTCTACCCACTATCCTTCAATCGGAGCCACTCAGATCTCGGCCTTCTGACGTCACCACAACCCCTGCAAACAGAAGCAGACAAACTTGCGCTCCACATAGCTTTTAGGATAAAATTTTCGCATTTATCTAGCTTTTTTGGAAGTCTTAATTTCTGAAAATCATAACGAAAGGTATACGGCACTTGTAGGGCCTAGGGGAAATTGTTTCAGCCCTGGGTCACCAAATAATCACAGCATTTTTTAGCGAGGAAGCTCCTGCGATCTGTAACCTTTTTTACTAATCGCCAATTTTACGAATTGGCAGTTCTGAAGATTTTGGTATAACTTGCTTTCGTTGCAATAGCTTGCA